ATTTGTAAATTACATCAGGCGTTCAAGCGCTTTTCCCCCTAACCTGACCAAGCAATCTCACCCAAAAGAAACACACATCTCCAACAGTCTCCAACCCAAAAAATCGACTTCACCCACCACCCTCCCTTCCTTGGTAACTCTCACAAAAACGGCCGGAAGGAATGATGACAAACCCGAAAATGCTCGTTTCCAGAGCTAGTAAGTCTCTCTTTTCACTCTATCCAAGTTTCTCAGATTAAAAATGTCTGTGATCCCTTCCCTGATCGGTCTTGTACAACAGTGTCTGATCTCTAACCCATTTTATTCTTACAGGGTGAATAGCCGCAGACAAGTCACATCACTATCAATCACACTTATAATTCATTCGTTCTGACATCAATCCAAGAGTCATTCAAAAATGCCAAAATCAATCAACTTTGAAAAGAGACAAAGTATACAAACAATCAGTCTATCTGTTGTACAGTTCAAAATAAATACACTCGATTGCACGTAACCCAATCATAACTAGTGTCATATGCTCTATCCCCTCAAGGATCCACCACCGAGTAGTTCAAGAAAAAAAACCTCTCTCACTAAAAGATCCAATGACGCTTGTTTAGTCACATAGATTTAAAACTGGGGGAAATCAATCTTTTTCTAACGGATCAATTGTTTGATGATTTTGATTCTAGAGAGTCGATGAGCTTGAAGATTGCTTTGATTTTGAATCTCTTGAAGTTGCTCTGCTTTGAGATTGATTGCAAGTAAGATGACTTGCGAGTTGATCCCATGTTCGGCTTGAGAGGGAAGATCGGCGGCCACAAAGACCGGCTTTCAGGATTGATCAGCAATCAGCAGGACCTCTGAGGGGCCCACAGGCATGTACATCACTGGCCACCAGCATCTTGACCACCGTCACAAACCGGTTCCCCGGGACAAAGATCTTGTCAATCTTGGAGATCCGTTGGGTGCCATACACGGCGGGAGCGATCGGTGACAATCCAATGTGTCGGCCCGTCGTGTGAGTCCAATATCAGGCTAGCCGACGGACGAACACAGCATCCCGACCGGCAAGGTCGGGTCCTCGTCATGCGGCCCATAAGTTGACTGACACAGTCGCATTCCCGCCTGAAGCGAGGCAAGAGGACGGGCGATTGAGGCACAAGGTCATCCATCCGTCAGACCAGTCCCTCCTCAGAGATGCTTTCAGGCTCTTGGACCAAGCTCGTCAAATATGCCATCAATAGCCTGCAATGTAATTGGTCATCCTCTTAGACTGCTCAAGATTGGCATGTTTTACCGGCGGTCGGCCGGGTTGGGCAGTTTAAGGCCATGAGTTCAAATCTCATAATATCATAGCCCATGGTTCCTCTGAGATAAGAGCACAGTCCCTGAGGACCATCTGAATCGTTCTAATTCTTATAAGTTGTAGCCCTCCCCCCTACCAGCACTATGAGTTACTCTCAGTCCACTCGCATCTGGCCTACCCCTACCATCATTTTGCCTGCCATGGCCCATCCAAGCCACCTCGAATCACAAGCCAACAGTTCCTCACCCAGCTCCCTCAATAGCAATGATATTAGAACTTTAGATTTAAATACAGAATCCTCTGGCTCTACCCGCCCTCGTCATAAAGTACACGGGTGCCGATCTATGTTCAGTTCAATCAAGGCTCCTGTCATACCAAAGAGTGCTCTGCCACGAAGCCCTTCTCAGTCCAAATCACGAGCCGAAAGTGCCCCTCCACCGGCCTCCACCAGTGCGATTCAGCCACCAGCTGTTATCGAGGTACCGGAGCCTTGTGACCTTCCACCCATGCTGAATGAGACGAAGTATGAGCTTGTTACTTGGTTCCACGAGCTCCAATGGATACACTCCGAGCGTCATAAACGATTCGGCTATGGGGAGAGTTTTACGACATATGTGACACGCACATGCGACCGCGAGAATTTTAACTTGACGCTGATGGGTATGCCTCTCGAAATGCGCAACAAGCAGTTCAAGAGATTAGTGGATTGTGAAACCCCGCCACACACAGGTTTCACAAATCAATCTTAGAGGCTTACATAATCACCCCAACTCATTTCATCCTTATAAACTAATCAGCTCCACCCCTGCCTAGCTCGGTAGAGAACTCCGGCCTTATTCTTCTACCGAGCTAGGTGAGTAAAACCATTTCACATTTCTTTCTCTTTTCATTTAATCATGTTTTCTTTTCCTTTTTCTCCTCTCTCATCAGATTCTAATTGTTGAAGTTGTACTGAGAGAACTCCGGCCTTATTCTTCTACCGAGCTAGCTCTTTGAAATACATCAGATTCAGGTTCTAGAAAAGTTCTCTCCAGGCCAATTGCCTGTCTCGACGTCGTATTAGCTCAGATAGTGAAGAGTCAAGACGTGACTCTTACATGGATATGTTTCATGTACGTTGGCTGTTATTCAACATCTCTCATCCATATTGCCAGAACTATATGTGCTGATTATGGTACGACTCTAGACAATTAACAACCGGCTCAAGATGAGAGATGGGACCGAGTTATCCGAATTGCTTTTTGCGCATGGGATGAAAAATAGTGTAAGTTTCTCACCTCCAGATATTCGAATCACAACCGTCTACTGATGATGTTCCTTATAACAGCTTTACGCTCGCATAGGCAGCATGCTTGCTGGAGAGGAGCCGCCCAATGTGGACCTGCTTGCAAAATTTGCTTTCACTCAACGAGCTTCAAATACCAATCCAGCTCACCAACCTGAGGGCGCTTCTGGTAGCGCAAACGATCCCGTTTCCATCCCAGAAACCTCTTCATCTGGTGGCTCTTCTAACACGGTGTCACCATTGCCTTCGGTCACCAGTTTGCTGCGCCCGCCCGGTCAACCTTCCAACATTGTCGACCGTAACAAACCTCCTCGCCACCCACCAATCGATCAAGGCCTCCGACATCAGGACTTGGTTGCCCTACCCCAAACCACCATCTGCAAGATGATCGAGGTGATGAGAGGCATTGTGGCCCGCTCTAATGAGCAAGCGACTTGTTTCGAGAACAAGCTCAAGAAAGATGAAGAGAAATTTCGAACCGACCTTTCAGCCGAACTAGAGAGGCATGATACTCAAGTGCGACAATTAATTTGCCTCCGAATTGCCGAACTGAAAGTGCTGGGACTCAGCCGCGCCCGGGCCCACAAGGAGGACGTTATTTTACCAGATCAGATTATTTCGCTGCTTGAAGGTGCTGGGATTTCTGGAGTCCGTAGCACTGACATATAGCCAACTGTTGAATTTTTCGCTCATCGATCTCTCTCTCTCTCTATTTCTCTTCCTTCTCTGTCACATGTCACTCATTCACCACTGGTTTTTTCACTGAGTTCTTATTCAATATGCATATATCCTGGCTCCCACATCTTGTGCAATTGTTGTATCTAGACTATTTAAGATGACCCTAGATACTGAGAAATTAAGAAAAACATCGGTTCTTTATTCTCTTTTTTGATCGATCCTGAAGGAGCACATTAGCCCTTCTTCAGTCTTTGTTGCGAGCACTTTAGCCCTCTCATCAAGAATTAAAAAAGGCATTTTTTCTTCGGCCTTACCGCCAAAATTTCTTCACCAACCAGCTGGATTTCTTCTTGTGTTATATTACAATTGAGCAAAACGCTTCTCTTCAACCATTTAGCACAACAATGTTACAGTCTTACCCATGTTCCACTCATATATACTATTACCTTGCTGTCTTGAAGCAGTAGGCCAGATCGATGTCTTTGGTCTGAAAATGTTTGAAACACATAATCATGCCCACCGTTAAATATCCCCCAAATTGAAAATTATTTATGATAGCATCACCGTATTCTCTTACCAATCAACTTGTCTTGCTAGCATCACCATATTATCTTACCAATCCACTTGAACTTAGTATGCATTATCATTTGTACCAGCAAGCCTCAATAATATTATCTAAGTAGAGTTAACTGTTGATTATCCCGCCAAAATTCATTACATGCTTCCAATGTGATTATTTCAGATTCCTGTTGACTACATAGTTGACATCAACAGGGCATAAGCGATGCCAATGTGACAGTGTGAAAATACAAATTCTAAAGAAGGCACAAGCAATGCCAATGAGACAGTGTCAGCCTATCAATCCTGACATCTGGTGGGACCCAATGTCGAATGACACCTCCTTTCCTCACCAAAAAAAGGGTTGAAATTGGCTAGTTAATATCTGTTGCTTATCTTAGCTTGAGTTGGTGGCAGAAGTATTGCTGACAAGAAGTCAATCTATTGATGTGATAAATTATGCTGGTATTAATATTGGTAATATGATAATGAAACTGATGGGAATGTATGCAATGAGCCATAAGAAACATCCTTTACAGGCACCCCAAAAAAGCAGTCCTCGAAGCAGCTAATTCTTTGCGCTTTTGTCCAGTTTTTAGTTTCTTGCCCCATTGCTGGAGTCCTTGATTGATCGCGGTTTTCCAAGCGGATGGTTGGATGCCTTTAACGGAAAACGAGGCATATTGTCGCATTGAGACTGATGAGTGCAATGTAGCCGAGTTGAGAATGTACTGATCATCATCAGAATGTACCAAGACCTTTGAAGTGGGGCAGCCTTCCATATCTGGTCGTCGGGGTATGTCATTGGGAAGAATCCAACATTTTCCGGCAAAGCAGTCGTGCTGAACGTTAAGACAAGATTTGATGTCCTGTTGGATTTCAGAATCAACTTTAGGATCTTATTGGATGTTTTCAATGGAATATGCATGAATTTTAAGGCCCTCACCGTCACTTTATGGTAATCACGTCAATGATAATTCTCCACTATCCTCATGTTGTAAAATTGACTGATACCTTTTTGCTCAAACACAGTCATTTCGATATGATACGTAGAAAAGCATGGGTGAGTCATCTTCCACAACGACTCGACACGTCCAAAAAATTGTTGTCTACAGTCACCCCCGGGGGCAACCTAATGGGGACTATTGTCAGAGTAATACTTTTCACAAAGAAATCGGGCCGATTAAAATGCTTCTCACCAGAACAAAGAAGCCCTTCCCGACAATGTCTTTGTCTGTCAATCGGAGCTGGCACATCTGGGTCACCTGGGCATTTGGGAACTTGTTGAAGTAAACGGGAACACCTTGTTGGTCTTCAGCGCGAAGATGAGTTTGAATTGGACATGGGAACGAGCTGAAGCTGGTTATTGCTGATGAGTTGAATCCCATTGATTTCTGGATCTGAGGATTATCGTGAAAGATTTTGGTGACTAGCTCAGCGGGATGGAATCGCAAGTGGGTTTTGTCGTTGTACAAGCATGCATTGGAAAAGATCAATCTGAGTGCATGGAAGTTCATAAATGTGATTCCCAAATCTCTCCCCGGTCGCAAACGATTTGAGTGAACCAAGGCTTTCCTCAAAACTCCATTGAAACTCTCGAACTGTTCAGTGGCAAAGAGGGTTGCAGGACCAAACCGCTCTATTGAATCAGGTAGATGCAACAGCATGTGTACCTTCGGTTTATTGACCCACTGAGCTGTCATGGAGATCAAATGCCAGAGAAAAATGCCAATGTGTTTTCGTAGATTGGCAAGATAATCCTGCATATTCGGAATCCGTTTCTGGAAAATGTATGTTGCAAGCATGCACATTGAAGACCAGAGGTTTCGTTGGGCCGGCATCATGAATCGGAAGAGGACAAATGGCGCCGTTTGCAAAATGATTTTATAATCTTTTCCAATAAGTGATTTAAAATGTTACGTCAGGAATTTACTAGGGATCGAGGTGATGTTGAGCGAATGAATATTGAATGCTTCCCAGGCGGCTAAGACTTGCTCAAGTTGAGGCCCCTTCAAGGTGCCAAGGAAGTCAATGGTGAGGTACTTGACAATTCCGAGTAGAAAGACGTGCAAGATCTCCACCGGAGTATCTTTACAGCCATCGAAACCTGCAAAAATTGGCAACACACAAGTCGTGAGCGGAGTTTCTTACCCCTGCAGGCCATTGAATCATAACTACCTGACCTTTGAGATGCAAAAATGAATTGAAAAGGCGTTCTTGGCCCTCTTCTGGGATGTCTCGGATGGCCTGTTGCTCCGTGGTTTTTGCTGGATTGAGCATAATTTCAACGAATTCCAGATTAATGGCATCACAGACTCCGAGTTCCTTGGACTTATTCTCGTAGTGTGTCCTGACGCCAGCTTGACCAAGTTCCCACAATTGGAAGGACTGCGCTTTGATTTGTTCCCAAGTTCGACTGGCCACTGGACTCTGTGGAGTCAAATTTGAGCAATCAATTAAGAATCACCAGGAGGGAGGCATTGGAAGAACTGACGTGACCCCCAGTGGAATCCAGATGTAGAAATGATTGGACATAGTCCACCGTCCTCTTATCTCTGATTCCCGAAGCATGCATACCACACATTCGACAAGGGTTGAGACAGGGGCGATGATAATCGCACTCCCCTCCCCTCCCCGCACGCCCACGCCCCCGCCCCTCGGAAGCGTGTTTTTTCAAGAAATCACGCTTCCGAGGAGGGTGCAGAAGAACCCGCCCCTCCAAAGGGGCGGGTGGGTTTGCACGCCAGCCAAGAACCGACATAGGTCGGTTTTGGCCTGGCGGGTATGTTAAGCGAGGAGCGGGTGCTTTGACCCGCCCCTCGACAAGCTCGGAACCTTACCGATGATATCGGTAAGGTTCCTGTCTCTGAACCTTACCGATATCAAATCGGTAAGGTTCTTGGCTAGGCTTACGTGAGCAAAACATCCCTGGATGTTTTGATCACGTAAGCGGCCTGCCCGGTTCTTTCCCCCCGCCGTTTTTTTTTCTTTCCCCCCAAATCCAGCCACGAACCACCTCGACCGACCGAAAACGACCCGTTCGACCTATTAATTAACATCCACCCCTTCAAAACCACCTCAACCGACGCCGATCGAAGCACGCAGCTTCAACCGAAGGCCCCCGAAACGCCCAAGCGTGCCGCTCGCACCCGATCCGCATACCAGGCCCCTAAGGAACCCAGCAGGTAAGGAATAACCTCAAAAAAAAAGGAAAAAAAGGAAAAAAAAGGAAAAAAAAAAGGAAAAAAAGGAAAAAAAAAGGAAAAAATAGGCAAAAAAAGGTAAAAAAAGGTAAAAAAAATGTAACAAAGGCGGTAAAAAAGGGAAAAAAGTGAGGTGAGAAAATGGGAAAGAAAAAAGGAAAAAAAAGGGAAAAGAAGGATAAAAAAAGGTAAAAAAAAAGGCAAAAAGGTAATAAAGGCGGTAAAAAAGGGGAAAAAGTGAGGTGAGAAAATGGGAAAGAAAAGGTAAAAAGGGAAACAGTGAGAGAGGAAAGGGGAATGAAAAGTGAGAGAGAAAAAGGCAGAAAAGGGGGTAAAAAGGTGAAAAAAAGGAAAAAAAAGGGGAAACCAGGGGGGGAAAAAGGTAAAAGAAGAGGAAAAAGTAAAAACATGAAAAAAGAGTAAAAAGTGGAATAAAGGGGGGAAAAGGGAAACTAAGGTTAAGAAAGTTAAAAAGGGAATAATGGGAAAAAAAGGTAAAGGTGCCCGTAAATAAGGTTATGTATGAAAGTGAGATGGGGGAAAAAAGGGAACAGAGGTACTAAAAATGTGACAAATAACAAAAACAGGAAAACAAAAATAAAAGAAAAATAATGATTAAATATATGTTTGAGCCCAAGGACCCAATGGTGGCCAGAAATGTCTGAATCATTACATATCCCCTGTGCCAATTCTTTGGATTGCTTCCCTCAGCCTGAGGAATTTCGCTTCAAGCCTCCGCTCGCCCCCTTCATTTGCTTTAAAAGACAATATACTGACAACACCATCCTTGCTTCCTCCTCATCACAGCCTATGTCTTACCAACAATATCACCTGGGGTCCCACCCAAACCACAGTGGCAGGGGTTACCCCTCTGAACACCCTCCGACACACCAGCCCACTGTTCGCGCAGACAACAACGGCCCTCCGCCACCCATCCGTCACGACTCACGTCCTGCCAGCCGCCCGGCCAATCACATGTACGGAGCCACTCATCGCAGTGGCCACCAGTCTGGCACTCCACAGCCCAACCTCCCTGGGGCCCCACACAGACCAGGAACCAACTGGGGCACATCCACACAGTCTGGCCCCCCACCGGCCAACAGCTATCACCCCTCACTGGCCAACAACTATGGCCACCCTCCACCCAACTACGGCAGCCCCGCACAACCACCGGCCAACTACAATGGCCCCATACGGCCCAACAACTATGGCCAACCGCTGGCTATCAACTATGCCCAAGCACAGACCAACAACAATCAGCCCGCACCACCACCACCCAATAACTATGGTCCCCAACCGCCCAACAACAATGGTCCCCCACCAGCCATCAATTATGGCCACCCTCCATCCAACTACTATGGTTCCCCACTGACAAACAATGATCACCGACAATTGCCCAACACCTATGGCCTTGGACCAACCGGGAACTATGACTCAGACATCTACGGTGTACTTCCTCCCAACAACATTTGCCAACCTATGATCAACCCGATTCAGCACCCAGGAAACGACTACTGCATTGCTGCAGGCACTGGCCATCCTACGAACATGAACACCACCAGAGTGTCCGACCTCGTCCGCAACCCACATTTGAATCAGGATCACGCACACGGGACGAATGTCTACAATTATGCAGCCACCCCAGGAAGTGCAGACCCACATGCTTATGCCGATTTGTCCCACGTGGCCCCTGCCGCCCAGGGACATCTCATTGCTCCTGGGGGTCAGATTGCAAACTACGACAACAACCCAAATTGCAACTTGGGCTCCAGCGGGTATTTGACCTCTAGTCATCGCTCCCCTGCCATGCTGCCTGTGGACCCGGCTAGTTACACATCGGTTTTTGAAGACGGTCTCAATCCAGGCGACGAATTTCACGAGCTCCAATCAAGTTTTGCAGCCAACCGTATCGATGATGCTGGGTCGCTCGTTCTGGCGTCAAACACCGGCCTTTCTGCAACATTCGGAAATGCTGCACTTGATTCATCCTTGGGCGCCCCGGTTGGTCCGACCTCGTTAGATGTGGGATCCAATGGTCAAACGTTAGATGTCAAAGTGGACGTTCGGATGGATGAACAAGGCGAGCAAGGGGGCTTGGCCGAGGTATCAGAACCCCATGAAGGTCAGTCGTGTGATGCATATAATGCAGTGGGACCCTTGTTGATTGATTATTTTCTCGTCTGGTAAGCGGAGGCGCCAGGCACAGAGGTCACAACAGGCAACCCCGCCATTCGGGCTGATGGGGACATTCAAAAAGACCCCAAAACAGTGGTGTTGACACGTGCAGAGGTTGACAAGTTTGACTACTCCATCGGAGGTGAGTGGAGCTCCGGAATGGCTTCAATATATGATTGGGCTGAGACTGACATGCTTGCACTCTTTCAACAGCTCTTATGGATGATCCCCCACTGTACCGCTTCACTGATAAAGCAGCCTTGAGAGAATTTGCTCAAAGGTGGGCAAGGTCTCATGGGTACAACATCCCAACTGGAAACTCACATACAGGGAAAAATGTGTATTTGGATTGTTCATTGGGCGGGGAGGACCGCAGGCCAGCCGGAGTGGCGAGGGAACGAGAGTCCCGCAATCGTAAGATCGGTTGTCTGTACCGTTTATCTGGCCATCACTCAAATGCGGCAGAGTTCCCAAACGCTACCTGGGAACTACGGGCGTCACGTTCACCTCACAATCATGGGCCAATCAATGTGAAATGTGAGACCGTGCACAAACGGCTGGCTCCAGAAGTGCAGGAGGAGGTCAATCGTCTACACTCGCTTGGTCTGAAACCTCAGGCAATTGCTCAGATGCTCAACAAGTCAAACGGGGAATTTGTGTCACTTCGAACGATCTACAATACAACTGCCGCGGAAAGAAGGGCCAAGATTTCTGGTGAGGCTCCAATCCAATTCTTGCTCCGTGACAGGCCGCTTACCTCATCAAAACATCCCGGGATGTTTTGATGAGGTAAGCGGCCGGGAATCAAGGTTCTCTCTCCTCCTTGGGAGGAGAGAGAACTTAATCGATACCTGATATTGATAAAGTTCTCTCTCCTCACAAGGAGGAGAGAGACAGGCCGCTTACGTGATCAAAACATCCCCGGATGTTTTGATCACGTAAGCCTAGCCAAGAACCTTACCGATTCGATATCGGTAAGGTTCAGAGACAGGAACCTTACCGATATCATCGGTAAGGTTCCGAGCTTGTCGAGGGGCGGGTCAAAGCACCCACCCCTCGCTTAACATACCCGCCAGGCCAAAACAGACCTATGTCGGTTCTTGGCTGGCGTGCAAACCCACCCGCCCCTTTGGAGGGGGCGTTTCTTCTGCACGCCCCTCGAAAGCGTGATTTCTTGTACACACACGCTTCCAAGGGGGACTCCTGCTCCTGCTCTGTCGGGGGGGGACGGTGATAATCTCACCCACTTTGGAACACGCCTTCGAAACTTCCGACCAGTTGCTCGGGTCATGCATGGGTGAGTCCGCTTGGAAACATAATACCAAACTCATCACCAATACCTCTGTCTTCAGAGTCAGCATCATATGCTGACAAATCCGTTGGTGGAAATCAAGCTAGGCCACCAATAATATCGACACTCAACAATGAGTAATGATAAGACATATCATCAACCAATCAATGTCACCAAAGGACGTACTTCATCTCCGCCACTATCTGCTCTCCTAATTCCAACACTCCTGCCTCGTTTGATGTTGAGAGAAAATGGCAGTTGTACTGCATGTTGGATATGTTGGGAGGCAGACCCGAGAGTGTAAAGTAGAAGGAAACGTGCTTATTCCATCGCTTGGAAACATTACCAGAGGTATCGTTGGCATACAAACTTATAGGCATGTGTCTGATCATGCGACCATTAGATCGGCCACGCCACGGATTGGGAAGTTCATGCAAGGTAGGGGACGATCCGGTTTCTGGTTCAAGAAAAAATCAGTCAGGTCCTTAGGTTGCCAAAGCAAAGTGGAAGTAGAACTAACCCAACATTTGATTGGAGCACATGACTGAAAGCAACTGGTTCTTTTCCATATGGATTTCAGAATACATGAGATCAAAGTGGTCCACGTTGATACTAATGAAGGCTTCCGAATCAAAGGGAAGCTCTGATGGGATTTGAATGGAAATCCGTGTATTATCGAGGGAGTAAATAAGGGTTGGGACAACACATCTGGCTAACAGTTCTGATCCTTCTTTGTAAAAGAACACCGGGACCACAATTTCCCCAGAGACAATGCGCACTGGTTCAAAGATATAGAAGTGCTTATTATGACTGGGAACCATCTGCACTCGCAAATCGGGTGGTAGACCTTTGAGCCACTTATACCCTTGGGAGAATTTATAAATATCGATCCCATGGCAATCTTCCGGGTAGAACTCCATATGTTGATGGACATACGGATTGGAGATTTCCTGACTCATGTTTTTTAATGTCAAATTTCCAAGCAGTGACACAATTTGGGAAATAAGAAAACTACCCACATGTCGTAGCAACTGCTCCAAGCTTGCAGAGTAACATGTCTTTTTGAAGATGCTGGTGCACTGTCGTAATTGCAGATTCAACATTTCCCAAATTTTTTCCCTCGAGTGCATGATGGTAGTCCAATGAGGGAGATTACATCCTGTCAAAGAAAATATTAACCGAAGTCAATCATACACCTCGCGAGACATGATATGGTGCATGTAACCTATGATTAGAGAGCCAATCAGGTACTTCACATCCATGCATCGACTCAAATCAAATCAGCAAGACCAATCTCTCCATGTGGGAGGCATCTGGCCAAGCAGGCCCGGGGGGAAATCAGGGTAAGCGACCTCACCTCTCTGTTTTTAAACAGGTATCAAGAAGACTCCGAAGAAGTAGCCTTTTTAATGTTAAAAAGCTGTCGGGGTACCTGTTCATCAGCCAATTGATTGATGGCCTCAAAGAGGTAATCATCCCACTCAAAGCCATCGCTGTCTGGCCTGGGGCATCCATCGGTGTCATCAAACATCGTATAATCGGAGGGATTCACCCCCCCCCAAGGGGGTCTTGTTGCACCTCAGGACTGGCAGGCTGATCCAGCCCGATGGTGTCAAACACAGACGCGTCTCGATCTTCTTCCACCAGCTGCTCTACCGCCAAACCTTTGGGGGGAAGCTGGGCAGGTGCCGTGCCCAAACTTCTGCTGGCTGCCTCACGTTCGGTAATCTTTCGTTGATGCATAGCGGAGCTGATGTGATCGCGATAGCTCTTGGTGGGTGCCCTCCCAGGGCAAAGCTCGCATCTGTACAACGTCTCCCCAACACCTACCTCGATGGTTTCGAAATCTACATCCAAGCATACAGGTAGGTGAGTGGGAGGCATGCTCAACTTACCACTACAAACAAAACCCTGTTCCACCTTGGGGGGAACTTGGGGGTTTTTTTTTTTTTTTTTTTTTTTTTTTTTTGTACTTCAGGGCTGCTGTTTTTGTGCTTCCAGGGCTGCTTTTCAAGAAAGTTTTTGTCTCCAAGCCCTGCTTTTTCAAAGTATTGAATTTTTTGTACTTTAGGGCCAGCCCTTTCCAAGGTTTTTATTTTTTGCTTTGTTTTTTGTACTTCAGGGTTGCTTTTCTCTCTCTAGTTTGTTTGCAATTTTGAAAACCCATTTCGTTCTATTTACAGCTATAATTCAAAAATTTTTGTTCTATTTACAGCTATAATTCAAAATTCATGTTGGAAAAAGTAACTATTTATTTCTATTCACAGCTATTCCCAGCTATCTACAATTTCTTTAGAAAGCTATCTACAATTTCTTTAGAAAAAGGGTGAAAGTAAGTAGTTGAGAAAGGAAAAAAAAATAATCAGTTGGATTAGACGGATTCGCTGCAATCACCATCAGGTTGGTTTGGGAGTGTAAGGCTCACTGACGGCGCCACTGATTCAGACGCAGGGGTGACTGAATTGGAGCCAGGCGCAGGCGCTGCCTTAGCCACAAGGGCGGGTGGCGCTGACTTGTAGGGTAGAGCTACTATTCCGGATTGTGACAGGTGAGGCGAGTACGCAACAGCAGGGGCTGGCGGCTGTGACGTGGGCGGCGCGAGGACAGGCCGTGCTGACTCTGTGCTGGGCGCTTGGATAGACTGGGGCTGGTGTACAGGCAAGGGCGCAATGGTAGGGGCGGGCGGCGCTGAGTGTGCAGGCAAGGTGCTGGGCTCTTGGATAGACTGGGGCTGGTGTGCAGGCAAGGGCGCAATGGTAGGTGCGGCCGGCGCTGAGTGTGCAGGCAAGGGTCCGACAGGTGTGGCTGACTGCGCCGAGAGGACAGGCGGTGTGGAAGACACAGGTGCCTTGGAATTACTAGCTTGGGGTGGTTGTGCAGGCGGGCGTGGAGGGGTTGGTTTCGAAATAAGCTGAGGATCGATAGTTTGGTTACCTAAGAAATCGGCTAATATTTGCGGTGCATCAGATAAAAAAGAGGCTGTGTCAGCTATGTCAGCGAAGTGGACATGCTTGGATTCGACGGGCTCTTTTTTTCGCCGGATTGGAGCAATTGGTCGGAAGATTTGAAGGCGAGAAACGGCGTTGCATAGATCATCAACGTTTGAGTCACGCAGAGCAGGAGCAGGAGTAACCGGGGAAGCGGGTGGAGAAGGGATGTTGAAATTATAAGCTTGCAGTTGTGCTGTTTGATCAAACTTACTTTCAGCCCGAATAGCAGTGTGGTCATGAGGGGTATGGTTTGCGACTGATTGGGCTGGGACAGGGTTTGATTTGAGGATTGGCTTGAGGCCCCATAGATTGGTAGACTTAGGTGGTGGTGGTGGAGGTGCCGGTTTTGAATCCCAAAAGTTGGCTGCCATGAATGGGTTGTTGGTTGTGGGCTCAGTGGTAGGTCTGAAGAGGGTTCCAGTGGCCAGAGTCGGGAGTGGAGTCTGGCCGAATCGACTGGTCGGAGGTTTTATCTGCAGGTCAGGCTGACCGAATCGACTGGTCGGAGGTTTTATCTGTAGGTCAGGCTGACCAAATCGACTGGTTGGCGTTATACCAGATTGACTGAGTTGACCGGTCGGAAACTGACTGAATCGAGGAGGCAGGGCAGGAGGTTGTTTTGCATGGTGAGCAGATTGGCCCAAGCAAAGGGGCGGCGGGGGTGGCTGTTTTTCTAGGGTCTGGTTGAATCGACCAAGCGGCTGGGGGTCCGGCTTTTCCTGGATACCAAGAGCATAGGAGAAATTGAAATTTGAGGAAGGAGCCGGTTTCTGATCGCTGGGTTTTTTGATTGGCATGTTCTGATTTTGTGATTCGACCTTGGGCCAATACTGTGAATAGTCGAAGGGCTTTGGTCTGCCGAGGGCCGGAGGGCCTGGCTTTTGGCTGTCTGCGACCGCTGAGGCTTGTGTTGACAACGGTTGAAATGCTGGAGCGACTTGAAATGCTGGAGGAATGATGGACTGTGGAAATGCTGGAGCAACTTGAAATGCTGGAGGGACGTTGGACTGTGGAAATGCTGGATCCCCGACGTTGGACTGAGAGGTGTGATATCCATACGAAGGGGCAACACTGGGATACCTGTGGGTCGCTGTGAGTGAGTGAGGTGACTGCGCCAGATGAGAGGTGCTGGGGCAATGGGGTCTTGCAAGAGTCGGACAGAAGGGAATTGGGGCGGGGGTGAAACGCCATTCAGATGGGTGATCTTTGCCCTGATGGTAATCAATCCCTGCTGCGGCAAACGTTTGGCTTCCCCCTCCCATCTGAATGTACCTCCTGCGTCTGGGCTGTGGGTCTTGGTTGTGACTCTGAGCTTGTCAGCCTCTATGCTACTAACCTGTAAGGGTTGTGCTCTGAGTGTTAACAAGAAGAGTAATGGAGAAGGTTTATTCGTGGTTAAATCCCTCAACCTGTAAAAGAAACAGGGAGGAGTCAGTGAGGAATGGTACTTCTACTGCTGACTCATCCAATTATTCAATTGGGCATCCAGATCAATCCTGTTACGTGGATTAATAGGCTTCCAATGTGAGGAATTCTTCTACTCACTTGGGATTAAGTCTTTTAAAAACAATCCAGATGAATAAGTGTATGTACACTTAAGGACCAGAATTGTTTAACCAGGGGGATAATTCTTTATGCAATAGAGATAAGTAGAAATGCCTTGAATCTGAGCAAAGTAAATCTATTTAGGTCTAAGGTAGCTGGTTTGTAAGGTTATTGGTGGTTTGAATCACTAATAAACACGGTACAAGTGTTGGTTTGATGCTACTAGAATTTCCTGGGGGGAAAAGGTAGGAATCTGAGCTCCTTAAATATTCTACAGGGGGCTCAGGGGAAGAGGAGAGGCCCTCAGGGCACTGGGGAGCTTCTTAGCAGCTCTACAGTTTCGTGTAAGGATGGGAGCTGTAGCTGTGCAGTGCTATGCATGGGTGGAAGGTCCTAGGACATGAGATCATACATGCATAATTGAGTTTTGTGGCCTATTTCTCACGTAATTTAAAGGGCTACATTTACTGTGCAGGGGCTGTGCAATTGTAGAGTTGTTTGCATACGTGTAACTCTGCTTATGCAAGCTTGTGATCATGAGAAATGCATGTCCTTCATGCATAATTCAGTCTTGCATGTAGAATTTGGGCTCCTTTCCCGTGTAGGCTGCTTTGAATTATGCAAGCTTTGAATTAGAGCACAAAAGGGTCCTGATGACGCCATCCAAGAGGGTTATGATGCAATCTGATGCCCTGATGATGTGATCAAGGATGGGTAAGCTTCAGATAAATGTATATAGCTTATTCCTCATCCATTTCACGCTTCTACTAGCTGATTCTTTATACATATGTAATTATTTATGGCTTATAAAATATGTACATAATGTATAAGAATAAACATTTTTTTAATACTTTATTCTAATGATATTTCTGTGAAATCCTAGTGATATTATATGTACAATACTCAAGGGGATTTCACAGTTAATTATAGAATTATTAAATATAAATTATGAATTAAGATTAAATGTAAATACATATTTATTTATTTATTATTCTAACAACAATTTATACTATTTTCCAGTATTCAATTAATTATTATTATTGCAGTTACTAGGTACATTTCACGTACTGTGAAATGTGCTCTGTGGCTGACAGAGCTGGCACATCTTGATTCGATCGCTCGCGATCCGGAGGCAGCTGCAAGAAGGGCGAGATCTTTGGGCGAGAATATGAATTGGTGTCCTGTCGTCCCTCTTCGGCGTAGCACAGGTCTTCATAAGCTGGCGAGGGCGAGCGCCGCAGTGGCCTACGGCCCGAACGGGTGTTGTGACGACGCGGGTCAGTATCAGTGCCAGAGTCGATGTTGATGATGTGATTCTTCAAAAGTTTTTTTCCCTGGAACAGCAATCAGAAAAAATCGAGCCGTACAATATTGGGCAAGGAAGAAAGACGACAACTTACAGTTACAAGTGCTGACTTGAGTGGCTGCACAGACTTCACCGACTTGAATTTCTTGTAATTGTTTTTGGCTTGATCCCAGTACTTGTCTTTGGCTGGTGCCTTGTTCTTACCCTTACTTTTCCTTGAGGCTCTGTTGTCTGACCTGTTGTCTGACTCGGAATCGGAATTGGAGTCGCCAGGCTGTGAAGTAAGAGAACTGGATTCTGAAAGTGATGAATCCTCGCCAGATGTCGATTCGTCTTCAACGGGTAATTTTGAATGTCTCTTTGGTTGCAATTCTTCAAATGAAACGTGCCGCTTTTTGGACTTCCGTTGCGGTGATTGAGATTGCATGCGTTGTTTTTGGTTAGGTGCTCGGCTTTCAGGACGGGCATTTCTGGGAGATGGCGATGCAGAGGTTCTAGCATAGGCTCGTCCAGAGCTTCTAGGATAGGCTCGTTTAGGGGAGGGGGAGAGAGACTTGGTTGAAGATCTGCCCTTTGATCTTCTTAATGGGGATCGACCACGAGTATCAGCAGAGTGCCTGGAACTTTGTGCCTGTTTTCTGGACGGAGTCGCCGGAGATCGGGCGCGTGTTCTGGAAGGAGTCCTTGCCTGTGGTCGAGCTCGGGTTGTTTTGGAAGGAGTTTTCGCGGGTGATTGAGCTCTGGCGGATCGAGGAGCTCTTGCTGGTGCTCGATCAGCCGCAGCTCTGGCCTGTGATCGAGGGGCTCTTGCTGGCAATCTAGGTGCAGGTCTGGCCGGCGCTGGGGCTCGATCAGCCATAGCTCTGGCCGGTGATTGAGGAGCTCTTCTGGCCGGTGATCGAGGAGCTCTTGCCTGTGATCGAGCAGCAGGTCTGGCAGGTGATCGAGATCGACCACCAGTCCTAGCTCTGCCTGGTGATCGGGCCCCTCTTCTCGGCGGGGGAGAGGGAGTGGGAGTGATGACTGTTGTTGGCGGTATTGGTAGTTGGACTGGCTCAGGTGAGACCTCAGGAGAGGAAAGGGAGTCGCTGGAGTCGTCTTCAGTGGTGCCGTCGGAGGCGTCTTCAGTACGACGGCTTGCTGTTTGACTGTGAGGAGAGTTTTGGGCCGACTGTCGGAGTACTGAAGACGTGAGGCCGGCAAGAGTATCAGCAAGACTAAGATTGTAATAATACTAGCTATGCTACACTTACTAAGTCTGTCCAAGTATTCTTGGGCAAGGTCACGTAATGGATCAACCTTGATCTTTGAGGGAATTATGGCATGGCTATCGACTTTGTAAATGAAAGACGCGAGTTCGGCTTTGTGGTTTGCTGGGTTGTAAGGTTCAAAATCAATCGATGCCGCTTCATCTGGTGGAGGCCTGCCTGTGGGCATGGCGGGTAATGGATTTGAGCTGGTAATAGATGTGAAACTAGCGGGGGCGGGAGATGGCTGGCTATGGTGTCGAGCAAGTAGACAATGACTAGAGACGAGATGAGACCAGAGGCAGATTAGATGGCTGGAGACCGAATACAAGAAGAAGGCTGGTACGAGTCACCGGACTTAACAGCGGTATGCCTCTCGGCACATCGTATTGAATGATGCCCATTGGTATGTACCGTACGGGAACACCAACAGATTGATCGGGACAAGTCGAGGTCAAGCCATTGAATTCGCCCTCTTCTGGCCTAGTTTACGACTTCTTCCACCTCGGTACGACTTCTTCCACCTCGGCGACATCGATTGATCAGTCCTTTGTTGAACCGCCCTCTTCTGGCCTAGTTTACGACTTCTTCCACCTCGGTACGACTTCTTCCACCTCGGCGACATCGATCGATCAGTCCTTTCTTGTCGGATTTCTGAAAATTATAAGTGGTAGATGCTTGTGGTGGGTCAGCCAGCTCGAGCTGTAAGGGCAAAAAAATACATATGTAGATTTATACATACATATTTATGTACATGCATGCAATGTGTTCAAGCTTCATAACTTTCATGTGTACCTTTGATCCGGTCCACCTCAATCCCCCTCGATTGCCTAGCTTTGGTCTGATTCGTTCCTTCCCACAACCCATCCGAACGACATTCTCTGGTGTAGCTCTCTTAGTCGAGTAAGTACTATTCCGCTCTGCTGCTGGATTTTGGACAATAACGTGTGCCAAATAAATTTGTACAGGGTTTGCTCTTAGAGGTCCGATCTCTGCCTGACCGATCGTGCCGTCATACCACCAAGAGACCGATCGCGCCGTCATACCACAAAAGGACATGTGACCCTAACGCTTTTGACAATGAGGTACATAGAAAACTAAGGCTTTCAACCGATTTCCTCATTTCCTTTAATCCATCCTCCTGCCTGACCGATCGTGCCGTCATACCACAAAAGGTCACGAGATACAACTTCTAGACTAACACCTCCACCCAATTCCATTCGGTCACCGGCCTAACGTCCGTTCCCCATTGAAAGTCCAGTCAAGAAAAGCCATTCAAACAATGAACGAAGAAGGACCGCCGGGTTGGAACCAGTTGAATGATCGCCTTTCAAAGATGTTGGCAACCAACCAATTCGCCTCATGGCCTCCAAGGGATTTGAATCGATTATTATCGACCTCCAACGGACTACCCCTTTCAAATCTTTGTTCTCTTGGAAGGGTATGACTTTCAAATCTTTTGACTAGTGGCTTTTGGTATATATCTTCCTTCAGACACGCTATCCTCCTTCGACCAGTCCACTTCTCCCCATCGTTTCTCATCTGCATTGTTGATACGGATATTAACCAGCTTGAAGCTGTTTGTTCTGATTGCACCCTCCGTCTACCATTTATAAAAATCGACTCTTATCCCCAGCTTGACGCTGGTTCGATTGCACTTAATCATCCATTAATTCCGTCTACCACCGCCGATCCGTCAGCTTGAGGCTGTCTTCATTGCCCCCCATCATCCATTAATTCCGTCCACCATTCGATCCGTCTATTAATTCCGCCTACCATCCGATCCGTCCACTCCAAGAGTCCTACGCTCCGCTGTGTGTTTTAGTTTGTTAGTTTATCATAGTTGTTGTAGCCATGAAGCGCCCCGCAGAGGATCGTGTACCGTTGTGGGATGGTAAGTAACAGTCTACAGTATTCATCCCGATTGGGCTCCACTGATATCCAGTGTGTACAATACCTCAGATCCCAACCAGCTTACCATCCCTCGGCTTCGCCATACCTTGTCGGTGTATAAAATCTCCATCGATCAAGGTGCACCCCGGACCAAGTTATTTCAGCAGTACGTCCGCCTGGCGCGGATCCAGTCGCCTGACTCTGTGAAGTTTTGGATCGGGGAACACTCATTAACTGGACCCCTGCCAGGTCAGTCGAATGAGCTACCTCATAGTCGAGGAGAGTTTCTGACAGCACATTTTCGTTTTCAGCTCCCGATGCACTTGTGGTTTCCCAGATTAAGATTTTCCTGGCTCTACACAAGATTGACTACCCAGCGCAGGCCAAGCGTGGCCACTTAGTCCACCTATACCAATCCATCACTCCAGCTGCCCCACCCCGAAGGTCTCTCATTCCTTCTTCTCCAGCCACAAGCGTCACAGTCTCAGTCGTCATCCCCCCTCATCCCGAACACAAGAAACGCAAAGCCAACTTGCGACAAAAATCCAAATCAAGTCCTCCCAAACCACTGCCCAAGTCGAATGCTCTGTGGCTCGTTCCAAGTCATATCGGCAAGCCGGGTATCGAAAAACTTCCCAGTCATGGTAGGAGCAAGCGTATCAAGTCAGCGGCCCGCAGTGAGACCTTTTTTGCGCCGTATAGCCGCCGGGAACATGCAGAAGACGAGCAACCATCCAGTGCTAGGCCTCGAAAGGTCAGCTCGACTTCCAGGCGCTCTTCTACAACCGGAGCCTCCGACCCGGGGTCACTGTCGCATAATTCTGAATCATCCCAACATTACACTCTCCGTCGATCCCCACGACTACGGGCAGCCCACGAAGACAGTCGAATGCTCGCAGAGCTTCCAAGTCATGAATTATCCCCGTCGTCAGTTGAACCGACTCAGAGCTCCCGAAATGAGGCACATGACAATGAATCTCGACAATACGGCTCTGATGATTATTCAGACATGCCAACTCGCCGAGGTGATGTTGCGGAAACGTCCACGCGTGCAAGCTCGCCCACTCCATCCGTTAGCCTGGCTGACTCCCCCATCCACCCCGTGCCCTCTCGAGAATCTTCGCAAGACAGGCATTCTCCAACTGAAGAAGAAGCTTCCGAGTCTCCTTTCGAAGCGCCACTGACCCCTCAACAGCCAACTCAAGATGGTCCCGATTCTCCCTTTGAAGCGCCAGGCAGCCTCATCTCTCCCTTTGGACGGTCCTCCGTTCAATCCTCCCAACGGTCAACTCAAGAAGAAGGCCCTGAGTCTCCCTTCGAAGCAGCTTCAACCTCCAGATTTTTTGAAGAAGGTGCACAACCTCCGACGGCCGACTTATCCCGACGAGCCTCGGAAGAAGTCGAATCGTCCCGCGTCCAACGATCGTCATCTCCTGTGGGGCTGGGAAATGAGGCAGAAGACAACGACTTCCAATCATCTGAATGGTCATCAAGGCTAGCAGACCAAGAATCTGAAGTCTCTACACGGCCCTCGGTGCAGGCTGGTGACCCCGAAGCATCATCAACATCGCCATCGGCCAATCATTCTTCAGAGTCAGAAGACCACGACTCAGAAGACCACGACTCTGAATCATCCCAGCAGTCTTCACGGCCCGAAGTGTCCAGGCGGCGTGTGACACATGAAATGACAGCTAGCTCCAGGCCTCAGCCACTTTCCGGAGCAAGTAAGAAGCGCAAGTCTGAGGACCCCTCAGAGTGGCCGGGTATGTTTTATTTGTGTTCGCGGTGTCTCCACTCCCAGCATGATACTAATTGAATATTATATATTTTTAGATGCGTCAATTCTAACGCGAGTTCAACTCGAAGAATATCTAGCGGCGCATGATGTTCCGTACGATCGCTCGACTCGGCTTGCGCGAATCATTGGTAGCTACAACCTGCTTCGATCCAGTCTCCCTCATCTTGGGGATCTCCAGCCCTTCAAACGCCCCAGAGCTTCTCAGTCCAGTCCTCCTCCATCCTCCACTGGAATCAAACGCAGGCGAACTCGCGCCAGAGTTGAGGCAAGCAGTGACGATGATCAGGTTGGGTTTGTATACTCCAGGCCGGAGCGGTCTCGAAATGCCTCCATCCCTCCTCAGAGTCCATCTGGCTCTGGGTCATCTGACTATCAGCCATCGGTTGCGCCCACTGAGACGTCGGTTGGTACACCTTCTCGGGCATCAATCAGCACACGCTCAACCATCAGAACCACCAGAAGCTTTCCCACGGAAAATCCCCGACAAAAGCGAGCCAAGAAGGGCAATAATCGACCCCAGACCTCCAAGAAAGCCGGCAAACGTCGAGCGCGAGCATCCCGGCCCAAGAGAACCCGCTGGCGCGTTAGCACTCATCATGAAGCCGACCTAGCTAGTGATACTGTGAACTTTGTTCCTGTGCTTCCCGAGACCTCAAAGAAAAGGAAGAATCGATCTTCGACTCCTGCCCGTGCGAAACGGGCGTGCCCTGGCCCTGATGATCTTCCTTCTTCCGAGTTCGCTACCCATCGTCAAGCCTCTGCCTCTCGTCGTCGCCAACCCGAACAAACCCGGCATAATACCTACACTCCTCATCCTTCCTTTCGTGATGATGGTCAGGTCGATTTGGAGGATGTGACACCGGGACACACTGAACAGTCAGAGCAGTCGGACCGGCTGGGTCGCCCAAGCAAGAGATCTCCCCCTGCCGAGTCCTCTTCACGTTCAGTTCACACTAAACGGACTCGACCCAATCCACCCGATTTCGATTGGCCTGACTTGGAGCTGCAACAGTCGAGGCCCCCCCTTCGTCCATCCACCTCCCGTAGAGAAGGAAGAGTACGCAGTGACAGCTATGCCCCTGCATCCTCGTTTCATGATGACCCATCGGCCTCTTCCTTTCATGACGGCGGGCCCACTCAACCTCACCTTGACCATCCGCAAGAAACCCACCCACTTGCGACCCCCCGGAGCAAAAGACGACGACCAGATGATAGCTCTCCCAGCCCTCAACGTGCCAAACGGCAAGCGCCATCAGCTGCCTGCCTTATCCCGAGCTCTGCACACGTTCGCCGCCGAAGAGCAAGGGAGCAAAGAGTTCGACTCAACAGCCTCACAATCCCCTCAATCCATGATGATTTTATAGTACCCAATCCTTCAGAGAGTGGCGTTGAGAGGTGGAGGAACTCGGTGCCTCCAGGATTGTCACCACCATCTCGTAGCCCATCCCCACCACCTTCGGCAAATCCTAATTTGAGACGTTGCGCCCTGGGAGAATGTACCGGAATGTTGTCGGAATTGACCCAAGCGGCAGGGCGTCTAACCGATTCTATTGTCCATGCGACGAATCAAGCATCGCTTATGCAGAGTACTCGCCTTATGCCGATTAATGGTCAAGCCCAGATCCCTGCAAGTCGCCCCTCAGGACCCCGAGACCTGTCTCTTCTGGTAAGGTGTACCTAAACAGCTACACAATGACATGATATCATTACTAATGAGAATTGACTGTTTACATGTAGGCTCGAGTGCACCAACACATCAAGACCCTATTCGGCAAGACAATGGAGTTGAATATCTTTCCACCCCGGCCACTGCCGCCGAGAAGGCCGTGTGGGTGCGTGACCCGGCCAACGACTACCCAGAAGACGAGCCCATGTCTGCCTCAAGCGCATCGTCACATGATGATGCTGTTGATCCCTGCTTTCCATATCCTAATGGACCTGGTCACAGGGAAGCATCGGCGTCTACACTCAAGATCATGTGGCGTTCTATGCAACGATGTCGCGTAGTATCATTCCGGCCGGACTTCGTTCGAGCTGTCCGTGACACCGACAATCTATTCCTATGGGACCTTGCCCACAGCATTTTTATCAAGCTAGTCAGAGCCCAGGAGTACCCAGAAATTGATCTCGAGACTTGCTCCTCAGCAAAGATATATGATGCAATTCTCAATCATGCCAAGCAACTCAAGCGATCGTGAGTCTGAAGAAGCGTACTTTTAACTCTTGTGAAGAATCAAGCTAACTGATACATATACTTTACCTTGCAGGTACACCGAGGCAGGTTGGGACCCCCGACGGCGGGACGCGCAGGCCCAGAAGAAACGTCGTCAAATGCGCACCACTCGTGTAAGTACCACCGTAGTTCTTCAATCTCACTGAATATGATCCCACTTACCGACCATCCATCTATGCAGTTACGCGATGCTCGACTCAAATTTTGTACCACACAATCATTCCTCATCCCCCTTATCCCGGTGATTGACGAGTGCACTAGTGACGCCGAAAGTGACGCTGAGATCGAAGGGTCGGACATGGACACGGGTGAGAATGAGAGAATTACGTTCGTAACAAAGTTGCCGTGGCGCCATCCTCGAATTGAAGAAGCCGTTCAATTAATCGACCAACTAATTGAGCGTAAGAGGAAATCGGGCAGTAGAGATTTCGGCCGATCGCCGACATACACCCGATTTCGGTACGGTAACCCCAGGATCAGTAATCGGCCCTGCCCTGCTCAGCTCCCTGCCCATGCGTACTGCGAAGACTGGCTCAAGACTCAAAGAATCCCCGAGTTGACCAAGTTGCACATCCAGACAGGTCCATCATTAAAGGGTCTTGTGAAAGAATTAAAGAAGCTGATCTGACCCAATCCTTGTAAATGCCTGATTACTTTCTCTTTTTCACTATACATAATCTGTGCATAGTTGTAACATAGCCACCTGTACATAGTTGTAACGTAACATAGCCATGGCCACTAGTCTTCATTGTAAATAAACGTAACATAGCCATGGCCACTAGTCTTCATTGTAAATAGCATGGTCAATGATCTCACCTTGTGTATATAGCAATGGCCATTCATTCATTTCCCTCTGACTCATCTTACCCAGCCGAAACACCCCACTTGACTTCAAGGCCTTGTCTGGTCAGCTTGTGGCGGTGTATTCAACTGGCTTGAAGTGCTAGTCTGGTCAGTTTGTGGCGGCGTGCAGCTCGGCCCTCATGCCCGTGCCAGCCAGCCAAAAGATTCAACTTGGGCTCGTAAAAACTCGGCCAGGTTGGCTGGTCGACTGAACGAACTTGGTTCATGCGGTCAGTTTGTGGCGGCGTGCAGCTTGGTCATGAGGCACTATTTTTTGGTGTTTGGCTCGTAAAAACTCGGCCAGGTTGGCTGGCCAACAGAACGACCTTGATTCATTCATCACGCACAGAACTTGTAACATTCATCAGGCTTAGACATCACACTAGGAATGAGGAACTAAACAAAACAGGCACAGAGCATAAACTGGAAATTTATCACGCCTCGGGGAGGAACTAAACAAAACAGGCACAGAGCATAAACTGGAGATTTATCACGCCTCGGGAGGAGCTTAGGGGATGAGTCTGGCAACCAGTCCATCATCAAAAACGAGCCGCCGGATGAGTCTGGTAAATCAGAGTCCACCTATCATCATCTGGGCCTACAAAGAATCCCATGTTGGCTTTTCCAACGTTTTTCCAAACACAATCCACCCATCAGTCCTGTATCTACAATTGTATTGTTAGCTATACGCCTCACCTCCGGTGTTATCTACATCGAATTGCATGCTTCGAAAAGCTATGTAATCCGGAAAGTAGTAGTATGTACTTTCATAACTGCCGCGCGACCATTGCTTGAGGAGGGCTTGAAGTACGAAGTTCCCAGGAACCACCCCTTCTGGAGTCTCGGTGTATTGCATGTCGAGGGCGCCGCTAAAGCCGTAGGTGGCTGAAAGCTTGTCGCTAACTTGGCTAAGCTGGTCCAACGTCAAGCGACCGCGAAATAACCCGGTGGTAATCAAGGTGCGGAGGATCTCGTCAACTGCAGCCTCGGTCAAGAGCCCCTCTGCCGGCGCGATGGTTTCTACTGGCGAGGGAAGATTCAACATCGGATATTGATGAATGATATTACATGAGGAAAAACATATTATTATAACACACCTCCCTGGCCAGCCGGTGTCGCATCGGGTACTCCGGAAGCGCTCTCTTCGGCAGCGGTGCCTGGGATGCCGAAGAACGCTTGATGTTCAAACTTGGTAAAGAGATCGTCGGCCGCCACGGCGGTTTCTGCTGCGTTGTCGGCCGCCACGGCGGTTTCTGCTGCGTTGTCGGCCGCCACAGCGGTTTCTGCGGTGGTTGGAAGATTAAATGTCAGGGCTGTTCAGAAGATAGACAATAGACAAAAGTTTGATGGATGACAAACCTTGGCCAGCCCTATGGTCAGCCTTGGGAGTCGATGCCACGGATGCGACATCGGGCTCGCGGGATTTGCTGTCTCTGATGGCTGGAAACTTGGCGTTGAGTTGCTCTACCTGCTCCAGCGTCAGAGACCCGCGATATCTCCCGGTGGTAATCAAGGTCTGGATGATCGCATCAAGCTCTGCCTCGGTTAAGAGCCCTTCTGCCATTGCTTCAAACTCTGCATCGGTGAAGAGCCCTGCGATGGTTTCGACTGGGGAGGGAAGATTAAACGTGGAGGTCAAACGTGTGCATTTCAATTTACATGATGAAAAATGAGATTATGATAACACACCTCCCTGGCCAACCGGTGCCGCATCGGGTCCGGAAGCGCTCTCTTCGGCAGAAGCGCCTGGGGTACCGAAGAACGCTTGATGTTCAAACTTGGTAAAGAGGTCTTCGACCGCCGCGGCGGTTTCTATGGCTGGGGAAGATAAAACGTTAGCATCTTGCTGTATTGGAAGATAGATGGACGCGATTTCCGCGACAAACCTTGGTCAGCTGCCTTAGGAGCTAATGCCACATTGGGCTCATCGGCGTTAGGAGCTAATGCCGCATCGGGCTCGTCAGCCTTGGGAGCTAATGCCACATCGGGCTCGTTGGAATTGCTGGGCGGGGCAGCAACCGTGACAGGAGCTAATGGCACATTACATTCACGATAAGCTGATAGTAATTTTAACATCTACGTTGTAATCACTCTATGACATACCTTCCTCGGCAGATCCTGCGTCGGATTTTGCAGAAGCTGTGACAGTCACAGAAGCTAATGGCCGATCATGATGCATATATAAGGTAAGATAATCTACCTTTTCTACACTACATAAAATCACTAATAACATATTTACCTTTCTCCACAGATTGTGCGTCGGGCACGTCGGATCTGTTGAGTTCGACGGGATGCATGGTATAGCAGACAGCTAACGGGTGGGATTCTAGGATTTCAGGAATATAGGCTGATTGGATGCAAATCGTAGACAGCTAAGTAGAGGATGGAGATGGTAGCAGGTGGGGCGAGTTAAGCCGGTGGGGCGAGTTAAGTAGTAGGCTGATGAGAGGCAGGCAGAGGCAGGAGCCCGGTCCCAAGATGATAACCAGAGATGTGTTATTGATACAACAAATGACCGGTGTTGTTGATACGACAAAGGATCATAGCAGTCCCCTGTGTATTTATTTGGATTTATTTCTGCAATCTTTCGAGATCTACATCCAATATAATATCCCACAAGTCATGAACCCGGAAGACGAGTCTTATTGCTCTGGGGAGGGAAGCCGTTCCAGTAGGGAGGGAAGCCGTCCCAGTAGGGAGGGAATGGAGCCTGCTGCTTGAATGTGGTCATCAAAGATGTGGTCATACAGAGTTGTGGTCATACACAGTTGTGGTCATACACAGTTGTGGTCATACATACAAAGTTTTCCGTCCGATCGGCCTTCCGTTACAAACTGCAGCTGCATCTTGTGCTGCATCCTGTGCTATTCTGTACAAGGGAAGACCCATCTGGGGAGGGAAGCCGTTCCAGTAGGGAGGGAAGCCGGTAGTCCCTCACACCATGAGGTAACGGGGTCCGATTCCCTCGCCGCCGGTCGGTACAGGCGAAATACCTTCCTAGTGGAGCCTGGTGGAGCCGGCTGCTTGAATGTGGTCATCAAAGAGGTCATACAAAACTTGTCCGTCCGATTGGCCTTCATCCTGTGCTATGACGTATTTATGTAAGTCGTAAGGTCAGTGGTGTCTCGGCTCGGCCGATCCCTCGGCTGGTTGGACCTACTCACGTGTTGGACCTACTCACATATGTAAATAAATACATATTTATATACAAAGTACTATCCCTCCCTATCCTTCCTCTCCAGACAGTCCACTCCAAAGCCCCCCGACCATATTTTGTTATCCGTCCACGCACCGGTGCGTCCACACCAACCCCTCGACCATCTCAACCATATTATCCGTTCACACCACCCTCGACCACCATCTCAACTTACTCCTATACTCCTATTGACTCTCTATCCGGCGGGTCAACAATGTCTGACACCCGGCGAGACCCCGTCGTTTGCCATTGCCAAAGATGCAGTCAACAGCGGTTCCGGCAAAAGGATGGCAATTGGGCACCCGGCGCCATCGTCTCCTCAGCCACTAAAATAAGCCATGCTGCAGCCGATACTCAAATGGCAGCAAGATTTGGAATATCTCGAGGTGCGTAGTCTATGGCTTAATAGAAAGTCCGTCTGGCTTCTATTCAACCTGATAATGTATAACGGCAGATTCCGACAGCGATTCCAACGATGACTCCAACGATGATATGGATTCCGACGATGGTATGGAGGATGTACGTCCTGACAGTGCCCAGAAATCCCACCGCTCCGAAAGTCCTTGTTCCAGTCCCATCCCATTGGATATTTATAATTGTGGTTCGTATTTTATGTGATTCTGTACACACCTGGTATTCCTGGTATTCATGCTTATACTCGTTTTTTTACAGACCAATTCTACAAGTTCACCCTCAAGGATGTCGATCCGGCTGTTCTGCACATCTCACTTTCGTCCGCGATGCTATCTGTTTTCGATCATGTATCCGTTGCCACCTCGTCGTGGCTTTTGAAATCCGGAAAAGACCTACTTACCCTCGCGGTCTCTGGCGGACTTGGCGATCGTCAAAATGATCAGGGCCTCAATGCGCTCCAACAAAACACTCTCAATTCTCTTCCTTCAGATATTCGGACTGTTCTCGCCCGGCTGGAGATTGAACCAACCCTAGTGACAGTCGTGTGCTGCCCATCCTGTTGGGCAATGTACCCCACGCCCGCCCCCCCAGAGGATGACGCCCCAGGCACCGATCCGCAGACCGCTCAAAAGAACGCTCCACAGATCCCCGCTGCTCCTACAGGCCCCAAGCACTGCATCAATAAAATTTTTCCCAAAGAAGACGGGGCGACAGTCGAACAACTACGGCAGGCCGCTAGCGAGTGTGGATCGGAGTTGTATCGCCTGAAGAAAGGCGGTTGGCGTCCAATCAAGTCATACGCCTATCAAAGCCTCTACGAGTGGCTTGGTAGACTTTTTTCTCGGTCAGAAATCGAACATGCCCTCGAAAAGATCGCCGCTCTTGCTGCTGAACCCTTTGATCCCACTTACGAAGCCACTGACATCCACCACTCCAAGACTTGGAAGGAATTTCTTGGTCCGGACGGAACTCAGTATACCAAGCAACCTGAGAATCTCACCTTCGGCATGTTCATGGACGGTATCAATCCTTATGGCAAATCCACCAAGAGTGCAAGTATCCATTTCGTGATAATGGTTTGCTACTCTCTTCCCTTAGAACTGCGTTATCAACCTCAAAACCTCTTTGTCGTGGGTATTGCACCTGGCCCAAAGGAACCCTCGCTCGAACAGATCAACTGGATCCTTCGACCGATCGTCGAGCAGCTGAAAGTGTTATGGGACCCCGGACTGGCGCTCTCCCGAACTTTCCTTTACCCCAGAGGCCGCCGCGTCCGCGCCGCCATCCTCCCCTTCTTTGCAGATCTGCCCGCCCTCCGCCGTGGTCTTGGATTCGCCTCTCCCATGGCCACTCGAATGTGTTCGTACTGTCTGCTTCCAAGGCAGGAAATCAAGAATCTGAATCCTGAGACCTGGCCTGCCCGCAACCTGGCAAAGCACAGGGAATGGGCCACTAAATCGCGAGACGCCCCGAATCTGGAGACCCGACGACAAATCTTAAGAGACCACGGTGTTCGATACTCTGTCATGCTGGAATTACCGTACTGGAACGTTCTCGAATATCATGTCGTCGACTCAATGCATAATCTTCTTCTAGGCCTATGTAAATGGCACTGTACAAAGTTCTGGGGTATGTCTGATAACGCAACAGAAGATGAACCTGACGGAATCCCAAAATGTGATGTGATCGGAATGATAAGGGACGTCATCGATCCAACCCTCGCCGCCCTCGAACCTCAGAGCGACAGCGACGACGATGCAAACCAAAGAACGTTCAACCAAATGGAGTTTCCTTCCACTGACTCCAGCGAAAACTCATTTTCACCTTTTCTTGCGGCTGAAGGTTGGGGGACCGGGACTTGGATCCGTCCAAGCGAAGGTAAGATTATATTTGATAAGGATGCGCTCTCGTTTATCAATAAACATCTGCCACGTATCCGTTACCCGACATGGATCAAGCAACCGATAACCGTTTTGGGCAAGGCTTCTTTTGGCAGCCTCAAAGCCGATGAATGGCGTAATTTATTCACTATCCAGCTACCCCTTCTCCTCCCTGTTTATTGGGCAACCGGCGGACCCCCCGCGCGCTCGATCTTTCGAAACTTTGCACATCTGGTATCGATGGTCAACTTAGCCCTCAAGCGGTCAATGAACGTCGAAAGAGCTGAGAAATACCGACAGCATGCACTAGCCTACTTGGAAAGCTGCCTGCTCCTCTTCCCCGACATTGATTTGGCTCCCAACCACCACATGTCCATCCATCACGCCGATTGCCTAGAGAATTTTGGCCCTTCGAGGGCGTGGTGGTCTTTCTCGATGGAACGACTGATGGGAAAGATCCTAAAGGCTGCTCATAACAACCGTATCGGTTCGTCACTTCTTTCTTCTTGTTACAGCTGCCCAACAACTGACCACATGACCATACTTCCCTTTGGAACGAAACAGGTCAGCTCGAGATAACTTTCCTCAAAAACTTTTGCCGGATTGGGAATTTGCAGGCCCTACTGTCTGCATCAGAAAAATTCCCAGCAGACCTCACACCTCTTATCAATCAGTTGAAAGCATTCCACGATCCAATCCATGTCGAAGCCGAAACTATCCCCAAAAGTCGTCAAGGCTCTCTTGACTCGTCGGCGCTGAAAATTCTGGTCAAGCGACTCAATGAACTTTTCCCTTGTCCCACCGGTGCTACATGGCTTTCATCCGATGCATGGTCCAAGAAGAAAATCACTGAATCTGCGAAGTTCCTCTCAGTCACATCTCGGATTGAAAACCTTTCTAGTTGCATGATTAACGAAGTCGCCTACTCCACCTACAAAGAGAATCCAAGCAATAGTGTGATAGTTCTACAAGCCAATTGTGCACCCCAGTATGGCATTATTGAGCAGATCTTTCGGCACTGGCGAATGTTAGGAGATGGTTCCAGCACAGCAGACATATGGCTGGTAATCCAACCCCTCTTACCATGCAGTTTCCCAAACCCATTTGCAGGACTTCACGAGTTTGATTTGGCGGTTGAACTTAGAACCTTTCAAACTGATAACACTGATGCCCTTTATATTATCCACACACAAGAGGTGCTTGCTCATTGTGCCTGGATTAAATATCAACCTTCTGAGATATTACCAAAAATTAAGAAGGAGTGCATTGCATTAGTCTCAATTGACCGTTGATTTTCTCATTCATTCTTGTTTCTCCCTTTTTTTCTCTATCTTTTCTGTATTGTACTTTTAAACATGAAATTTCATTGTATGAAATGGCTGAGATGAGAATTTTTTCTTGAAGATTGTGAGCAGCCCTTTTTCTGCAGCCCTTTTTCTTGGAGAGTGTGAGCAGCCCTTTTTCTTCAAGATTGTGGCAGCTCTGAAGGACAGCAAAAAAAAAAAAACAAGCAGCCCTGATCAGAGGCAAAAAAAAACTTTCTTGAAAAGCAGCCCTGAAGCACAACAACAAAAAAGCAGAAAAAGCAGCCCTGAAGTACAAAAAAAAAAATTAAAAAAAAAAATTAAAAAAAAAAAATTAAAAAAAAAAAATTAAAAAAAAAAAAAAAAAACCCCAAGTTCCCCCCAAGGTGGAACAGGGTTTTGTTTGTAGTGTACGCTTCAAAAGTTCAATCACCTGGAATTTTTTGCCAACACGGCATCCTTCGGAAGGTTCAATAGGCAATTGTAACCGATTAGCAGACCCC